GAGATTGGCACAGGACAGAGCAGGGTTTAGGGCTGTTGTACATAGGGTCGCTATGAGTTGCAAGTGACTCGACAGCACATAACAACAACAACCTTCAGGACTGCAGTGCAGGTTCTTACCACGAGGCCACCAGAGCTCCCTTGTATATATACAAACATTTAAAATATTTATATATGCATATGTTAAATAAAGGGAGCTCAGGTGGCTTAGTTCTAAGGAATTGTGCCACCAGTGCAAGGTCAGCAGTTCAAATCTATCACCAGCTGCTCTGCAGGAAAGAAAGATGGACAATCAACTCCTGTGTGATTTATTGCCTCTGAAAACCCACTGGAGGATCCACTGTGGGCCAGTTCTGACTCTATGGTTCACAACAAGAATATTAAATAAAAAGTTAGTGAAATTTATCTTTCTTTAATAGATAAGTCTTATGTCACAGCATTATTACCAAGCTTTACAAGAGTACTTTGATGTATAATAAGCACAGAAGAACATCTTACTCCTTTTCATTTCACTTGCAAATGAATCAAAACAAGTTTATTCTGGGAAAATATTGTGGCGATATTTATGACACTTAAACTTGGCTTAAAATTTTTAAAGCAGAATTAAGAATCAAAGTTACTGAAGAATAAATGAAAGTAATTTATCCTGTCAAAGTTAGAAAAACCATATGGCAAGATTTCTATAAATACATCTCAAAAGAGTATTCTGTATCCACATACGTGGGTTCATTTCCAGATTACTGCAATAAAGCAAATATCCCAATAAAGTCAAGTCACACCCACATTTTGGTTTCCTACTGCATAGAAAAATTATGTTTATACTATGCTGTAATCTATTAAGTATTATGAAATATTGTAAGAAATACTAAAATGTGACACAGAGACACGAAGTAAGTACATGTCATTGGAAATAATGGTGCCAAGGCACTTGTGACATAAAATGGGATATGACTTGTATTCCTCAGAAAAACAGAACAGTTGGCACATTGGGAATAACGTACCCATGTAGGCTAGAAAAATAGAATGAGCCCACCATCTCAGTTATAAATCAGAAAATCTAATGCAGTAGGCAATTGCCCCTTGAGGGGAAGGTAAATTAATAAAGGCATCCAAGATGCTGACTGGGAAGATTTAGAAATGCCATCTGTGTCCAATGCTTCCTTTCACAGGCATTTTAGCCATGATGTGAATAGAGATCTTTCCTAGAACACAGTATTCTATGTACCTGATCTTCAATCTATGCTTAGGCTTAAGGACCATGCTGTTGCCCCTGCCAGCAGTGATTAAGGTCACTTGTGGACTTGAAATCTAAGCCGAGAAATATCACATCTGCATTTAAGCATGCAACTTGCCACAGACCTCTCGCACGTCGTTCTCCTTCATGACGTGCCTGGTAATATAGCGGATGGAATCGAGGGCAGCTTCCAGCGTGTCTCTAGAAGTCTGTGGTCCACAGACGCGTTCAGGTTCCTCTTTCTGGGCGAAGTACCTGTCTGCGTGACTTCTCATGCAAAGCAGTTTCGGAAGCTTGTGAAGAAATACCTTGCGGACCCAAGGCGCCATGGCGTTATGTGTGGAGGATGAACGGTGATGAATGTTGATAGCGAAGACAGTCACCATAATTGATAGCGTCACAAAAATCATGGTGAACACCAGATACTCTCCAATCAGCGGTATCACTTTGGAAGAAGAAGGTATTATCTCTTCAATAACCAGAAGGAAGACTGTCAAGGAGACAAGTACCGAAGTACAGAGGCAGATCTTCTCACCCTCATTTGAAGGGAGATAGAAGACAAGTACAGTTAAAAATGAGAGCCCGATGCAGGGTATGATCAGGAACAAGGTGTAAAAGAGAGGCAGGCGTTTAATTACAAACGAGTACGTGATATAGGGATACCAGCAACAGCTGTCGGTTCTGTTGCCTTTGCTGCCTGTGGCACTCAGAATTTCCCACTCTCCATTGTCAAAAAAATCTCTCTTGTCCACATCTTGGTCCTCTAAAACTAAGTCGACCTGTGATCCGTCATAAGTCCAAGAACCAAATTTCATGGAGCAGTTTTGAAGGTCAAATGGGAAAAATGTGACATCAATGGTACAGGAACTTTTGTAGTTCGCCGGTGGGGTCCAGATAACAGTGCCATCGAACCTGACAACCGTTTTCGTACTGGCGCCTTCAAAACGTCCATCAGCACTGAAATACACACACATGCACACAATAAGAATGCCAAAAGTAAACAACTCCCTTGGGTACTTCACAAATCTGGTATAAAAAAAGCCTGCAATTAATGGCATGAATTAATTTTTTTTTTAAATTACTACACTTAAATTATACTCCTGCGTATAGAGGACACCTGCTTTAGGGACATCTTCCTTAAATATCTAACTCTACTACAAACCTTCTTCCACAGCTACTCCAGGTTTACAAATCTGTGTTTCACAGAATCCTAAAGTGTTTGTGGTTGAAAAGAATTCACCTTACATGCAAAATATAATTGAGCTATTCATGCAACTGACCCACATATTCCTAGATACCCCTCACGATACTCTTCCTCCTGAATCACAAAACTGACCACTTTCTATTTTGACAAGAAAAGAGCTTTAGCACCAAAGTAGGCATGAGAAATGGCAGTGACTTTCAAATGTTCCCTCCACGTAGACTCATATACTGCCAAAGTCTAACAAGAAACACCTCCCCAAATATAAGATTTCTTTGATGTATAGTTCTTTATTTTAAAGTTCATGTGACTTTTGCATGCTACTCTGAAATATATTCATACTAATATAAGAGTGTTTTCAATTACTCAGAGTAAAGCCATGTTCTAGGGAAGCTGTGTCATATTACCTTGTAGCTTTGTTCACCCCTTACATATGAGAATCATGATGGAAAAGGTTTTTAAAAGATTAAAGATATTCTGGGATACTGTTTGTTTTGTCATCATGCCAAATGCTTTTTGAAAATAAGGCAAAATGCGGTAGGAAAAAATGCCCAGAATGGGCCTGAATTAGCCCTAGAATAAAGGAAAGTTGGTATCCAGGATTACCCTCTCCTCAAGTGAAAAATAAACATCTTAAGGAAAGGATGCCTATAGGATTAGTTAATAATTAAACTAACATTCCTTATTGTAGGGAAACTATAACATATTATTTAAACAAAAATTTCAGAATGCACATTTAGACATGCTGTATGGTCTCAGCTACTTACACAGTGCATATAATCAAACCAATCAACCTGGATGTCACATATACACTCAAGCAAATAAAAGAAGCTTCACTGCTGTAGAGTCAAAAAACAGCAAATAACTGGCCCTGCAGCTGGTTTTCAGAGGCTGTAAATCACTTGGGAAAGTACTGCACATCATTCTCCCTCAGAGCAGCTGCTGGATTCAAACTGCCTGCCTTTGGACTGGCAGCACAATTGCTTATCACTAGAAACCAGAGTAAATGGCTTGGTTTGAACCTCAACTCCATCACATGCGACTTGTGTGATCTTAGACATGGCATACAACCCTAGGTCAATGTCTTCACCTATAAAAAAGATGTAATAACAGTACACATCTCATGAACTTACAGTGAGGGCTGAATGAAATAAACATGAAGCCTTCTACCCATTGTCAAGGACACAGTAAGTTCAACATAGATGTAAGCTAATAATAGTGGTATCTTCCAAGTAGCAAGATTATGCATGTGGTTAACTATATATCATCCTTTCATGATTCCTAGCTTTATGTACTACTTAAATGAATGACAAATTTTGCAATTCATTGAACTTATTTTTTTAGATCAGACAATAAACCAAAAGAGAGGGGTATATAGATTCACAGAATCAATATGCAGACTCATGAAACCAAAGAATGTAAAGTCAATTGATTTTACAGTTAGACAGTTTTCAAAAGGGAAAGAAAAGTACTAGTGGCTAATAATATTAGTGCAAGTGTTTCTTTGGTTATAGTACTTACTTATCAAACAGCACAATGTCTGGAGTCCAGAGAGAGTCTGAAGGGACACGTATAACTTTTATGCCACCATAGTCAACAGGGTTCCATCTTAACTTTACGTCTATCCACTCCTTAAAAACAAAGAAGCCTGCTTCAATGCCATTCAAATTGTCCAAAAACAATGAAAATGCAGACATTTTAGACATGATTCCATCCCCATTAGAGAAAAGTCACTTCCACATCTTTCGTGTGCTCTAGACTATAACCCTGTCCTTCCATACTGTGGTCCATAGCTCCCATGAGGACAAGTGAGTCGAAAGGCTGAAGGACCACAGTGCCACAGCCCCATGTATTCAGTAACTTGCCCAGCACCTTTTCTGCCATCAACTGACCATGCATGGACACTGCAGATGTGTGCCTCCAAGTTGTAGTTTGCAGGGGAAACACTCTCTTTTCAGCTGTACTGTCACTTGATTTTTCTGGACAGGTTCATGCAAAAGCGAGTGGAGTTTATTACACATTCTACGTACTTAAACACCTCATCCAACTTCCACCCTGTCACCTGTATCATGTTTGAGATGTATACCCCAATAAAAGCATACAAACCTTTTAGAGCTTTGGGGTTAAAGAACTCATAGGTATGAAAATTAGAGTTTAGAAAACAAAGTAAATCACTGAATAGCAGTTAGATATAAAGGCTGAAGTGGTGTAAAAAAAAATCTGGGGGCTGCTCAATGAAAGGCTCAGGGTTCAAGTCTACCCACTATTACTCAGGGAAAGATGAACAATTTCCTCACATAAATATTTCCAGCTTTGGAAAGCCAATGGTGATTTAGACCAGATTTGATGGCAGTGGGGTTTTGTTTTACTTTATACAATCAGGTGCTACTTGTGTTCACTGTGTGTTTCCACTTCCTGAAGGATATGAAGCAAAATCCTTGCAGAGGGCTATGCCACCAGTTGCCTGGTGCTTTTCTGACTTCGTCTCCCCACAACCTGGTCCCCTGGAGTCACACTTGTCTCTTTGCTGTTCCTTAAACACTGGGCACACTGCAGCCTCAGGACATTTTGCCCTTGCTGGTCCCACTTCCCCCACATAGCCACATAGCTTGCTTCCTCTCTGCATTAAAATGTTTTGCATCCCAGTGATAATTTCCCTGACCACCCTTTACAACAATACTTCCTTACAGGGAACCCTGGTGGTGCGGTGGTTAGGCACTCAACTGCTAGCCAAGAAAATTTAGTGGCTGGAACCCAGCAGCTGCAGTGTAGGATGGGGCTATTCTGCATCTGTAAAGATCGCAGCTTTGGAAACACTATGGGACAGTTCTCGGTTCTGTAGGTTCATTACAATTTAGAATTGACTTGATGACAATGGAATGACACATTCTCTATCCCCTTTCCCAGTGTATTCTCCTCTCAGCTTTTCATCTTCCAAGGCTCTACGTAACTTATTTCTTTTCCCCTTCCTCAAATAAAGTTCCTTAAGGGCAGGCATTTTTGTCTGCTCTGTCCATGTCCACTGCTTTGCCAGTACCCACAATAGTGAGTGCTGGCACATGGTTGGCAGTGCCTTCTAGTCAACTACAACTTATAACAACCCTCTAAACAACAGATGTGAACCTTGTCCTATCCTGCACCATCCGCACAATCTCTGACACACCTGAGACCATTATTACCTTCACTGCGTCAATCCACCTTGTTCCTCTTTTTCTCGGACCCTTAACTTTCCCAGCATAATGTCTTTTTCAAAGGACTGGCCCCTCCTGACACTATATCCAAAAAAGGTGAAATGACTCTTGCCTCTAAGATGCACCCTGAATGCACTTTCTCCAAGATAAGACTTGTTTGTTCTTCTGACAGTTCAATTCATTACTCTCCTCCAACACCACACGTCCAAGACCTCTAGTATTCTTCTGGCACATTTATTCATTGTCCAACTTTCAGATGCTTAGGAAACAGGTGCACCTCAGTCTTTAAACTGACATCATTGCTCTTGCGCACTTTGGAGAGGTCTTTGACAAATCTTCCCAGTGCAATACATCTTTTGGGTTCTTGACTGCTGTTAGCATGGGTGTTGATTGTGGATCCAAGAAAAATGAAATAGTCTGACTTAGACATCCAATAATGTGAACTGAATCCATACATGAACCCTGTTTTCTCCCATCTTCCTCTATCCTGTCAATCTCAACAAAGCCTGTAATCACCTATAATAAAAACTGTGGTTCTTAGCCCTTTCACTTTTCTACGTACCTGTTTCAACCAGACATTTGTTGTCATTAACTGATTTTTCTCATCCTATGAAAGAAAAATTTTAACAAAGCTGATTATTTAAATTAAAGAGCACAATACTTCTCTTAACAAGGATTTTCACATCTTAATACAGACATTCTTCACAAAAAATGTAGTATCTATGTCCATCAATCTAGTATGGTAGAAAAATTAGATCTTTTTATCCTTTCATTCCACAATATTCCTTTTAGTATCTCGGCATTTTAGATAAACTGCCCAAAAGTACATCTTTAGCATTTGTAGTTTTAACGTTTATAATTTCAACTACTATATTTCATCAAATCTAAGAAGCCTTCTAAGATCCAAGCACATCATTGTTTTATGTACTGAGAGTACTAAGAGAGACAAAAGTTGCCAGTGAATTTTGTTACTGTTAGTTATAAGACACATCTTGATTTCAGAGATAGTGTACATCTAAGTATTGTTGAGCTACAGTATTTCTGAGCATTCCTGAGAGACCCTAACATGTAGTCATTTACCTCTGTTTGAAGCATGAATTCAGGGCTGCTCAAAATATAAAACTCATTGCAGTCGAGTTGGAACCGATTCACAGCTGACCATCCAGCATGTTTTCAGAGGCTGTAAATCACCTGGGAAGAGGCTGCCCATCATTCTCCCATGGAGCAGTTGGTAGGTTCAGAACAGCCCCCCTTCAGGTTAGCAGCACAATTCTCTGTGGCTTATGCCAGCAGAGCTGCTAGAGGGGGCTTTAGTATAGAAAAATACTTGAATGCCAACTTCAGAAAGCTTTCACATACTACTTTTCTAAAGAACCAGGGTTGTCACGCACACCTTTCTGCTGTTGTATCCTTGCTTATGCCAGTGCTTCATCAAGTTTTCAAGCCCTACTTAAAATATTTTCCATTTTATCATGCAGATAAAGTGACCAATCAAATACTGGATATAGGGAGGCTTCCCTGCTAAGCCCCCACAGAAGTACGATCCAGTCCCTACAACCATGAAGAGAGGACAGAGATAAAAGTAGCTGTTCCTTAAGAGAAAGATGGGCAATCTCCTCCCACGCAATGTACAGCTTCTGAAAGCTCACTGGAGAGTCAGCTCTGAGTCAATTACAGCTTCACAGCAATGAATTACGCTGTTTGTTTTAGGTTTTTAGTCACCTATTGGATCTCTTGTTCAGTCAGCATTTACTCAGTGTCAGGCACTGATAAGGTTCTAGCCCACAATGAGGAATAAAACCAATGATGACGCTTCATCTCACATACTTTGGGCATGTTGCTAGGAAAGGCTATTCTTGGAAAGGGGCATCATGCTTGGAAAGGTAGAGAGGTCAGCACAAGAAAGGAAGATCCTCAATGAGATGGACTGACACGCAGCAATGGGCTCAAGTGTGTCAGAGATGATGAGGATGGCACAGGATGAGACAGGAGTTAAGTCTGTTGTTCATAGGTTCACTATGAGTGAGTCATACTTGACTTGATGGCAGTTAACAACTACTTTCAGACTGCAACATCAGGGCACAAGTACCGCCAGTGTAAATGTACTATTTTAAAGTGCAAAGAGCTGTCTGAACAGAAGACAGACTGTCTTAGAAAACCTAGAAAGATTTCACACCGAGCGTTACAAATGAATTGGGCCGGGAGGGATAAATGGCTTGGACTAAGAAGAAAAGCTCTCCATGTAGAAGAAATGGCAGGAGCAGAGACACAGGGGCAAACAGGAACCATAACTATCTATCGGGGCTCCCAAACCATTAATCTTTTGATCTAAACAATAAACAAAATATGTTAGTATCACTTACATTCTTAAATCCTTTCTTTTGATAGAAGTATTTTTTTTCCTTTTGCCATTGTCAAATCCTAGACTTCCTATAAGGGGAGCTCTGGTGGCCGAGTGGTAAGGAGTGGTGCTGCCGACCCAAAGGCACACAGCTCGAATCTGCCAGCTGCTCCAAGGGAGAAAGATGGACAATCTTCTCTTGTGTGATTTACAGCCTCTGAAAACCTACTGGAGGGTCAGCTATGAGTTGGCTCCACCTCGAAGGTACATAAAAACAACATACTTCCTAGAAACCAGTTCAAATGCCATCTTCTCCATCCTGTCCTAAGTTTCCACATCTTTACTTTAAGTCACACAATTGAGCATGGCAGTGTTCCGTAGTTATTGTTTCATAGCCCCAGCCAATGAGAGAGAGAAAGAGATCTTTATAAGGGCATGGCCAACTAGCATCACTCCCTACTTTCATATTTTTCTATTAAAAAAACAAAACAAAACCCAAAGTGACTCATTGCCATTAAGTGAGAGAACTAATGGTTTTTGGAGGCTGTAAATTGCTTACGAGGACACTGCCCATCTTTTTCCCACAGCGTCCGTGATTAGTTCATACCACCAGAGAGGCACCCCCTTTGGGTTAGCAGCACAATTCCCATTGACTTTACCACCAGATCTCTCTTCATATTTAAAAGCTCTCTAGGTTACCTAATAAAGGGATGAGAACATATTAGATAGGAAGGGAGGGAGGGAGGGAGAGAGAGAGAAAGAAAGAGAGAGAAAGAAAGAAAGAAAAAGAAAGAAAGAAAGAAAGAAAGGAAGGAAGGAAGGAAGGAAGGAAGGAAGGAAGGAAGAAAGAAAGAAAGAGATGTTGTTGCTGTGAACTGTGAACCTTTGGGGGTCAGAATTGACTCATTGCTGACCCTCCAGCAGATTTTCAGAGGCAGTAAATCACCCGAGAGGAGACTGCTCATCCTTCTCTGGCAGAGTAACTGCTGAACTTGAACAGCATGCTATTGGGGCTGCAGTACAGCTTTCTTACCACTAGGTCACATATTGATATATTATTGTGTACCATCCAGTTCCACAGAGCTGCTGGTGGATTTGAACAATGTGCCTTTGGGTTGGCAGTGCAACTCTTTACCACCAGAGCCACTCCCAGAGGGGTGTGTGTGTGTGTGTGTGTGTGTGTGTGTGTGTGTGTGTGTGTGTGTGTGTGTGTGTGTTTATATATGTATACACATATATATATACACATACATCTATATACAGAACACTAAGGTGTACCTTATTCAGGACATGGACATTTCAATCAGTTGGTATACCTCTGATAACTGGACAATGAATAAGGATAATAAAAGAATTGGTGCCTTTGAGTTGTGGTGCTGGAGAGGAGTACTGATTATCTCAGGGACTGACATAAGAATGAACAGTTGTGTCTTGGAAAGAGTACAGCCGGAGTGCTCCTTGGAGGCAAAGATGATGAAGCTCTGTCTCTCATGCTTTGGGCATGTTGCGAGGAGAGGACATTGTTGGAAAGGGACATCACGCTTGGAAGGATGGAGGGTCAGCACAAGAGAAGACCCTCCACAAGATGGGCTGATACAGTGACTGCAGCAGTGGGTTTCAGGATAGGAAGGTTCAGTTCTGCTGTTCTTAGGGTCTCTATGAGTCATACTTAACAGCAACTAACATCAACAACGTGTGTGTTTTTGTGTGTAACTCTAATGGCTTAGTGGTAAAGAATTGAACTGCCAATGCAAAGGTATGTAGTTCAAACCCAGTAGCTACTCTTTAGGACAAAAATGGACAGTCTCCTCCCATGCGATTTACTGCCTCTGAAACCTGCTGCAGGATCAGCTATGGGTCAGTTCCGACTCATCGATACTTAAAAACAAACACATACCTGATCCTCCATCAGGTTTTCAGAGACTATAAAATCACACAAGAGACTGTCCACTTTCCCCCATGGAGAAGCTGGTGGACTTGAAACACATACCTTTGAGTTGACAGTGTAACTCCTTACCCACTGTGCCATAAGAAATGCTAGGCAACTCAGAGTAGTAGAATTATAGTCAACTCTTACCTCTTATTTGTATTTCCAATATTTTTTTAAATTCTTTACAAGTATCTTGCATAAATATTTTTAAATATGTAAATACTTGTTGAGTATTTGGGGATCACAGTGGGGAAAAATTATTAATTGACAGATCAGGACAAGAAGAAACTAGTTTTAAAATTAGTGTAAACTTTTTAGTTTAAATAGAAAGGATCTTGTGATAATAAGAGTTATCAAGGGAATTTCTTTTCCTTGGTGAATGCCATGAGGGGAAAAGCTTTGAAATGTTTTACGTGTGAAATTGAGACAATGATCTAGTGAGATACTTTTGGATCCTAAGAACCTATGGCTTTATTCCTGGATTTTTCTCTCACACTTTCAGACTTTAATTGTACTTTTAACACACTTAAGGAGAAAATTTAATATAATACATTTGCTTTTATAGTTTCAAATTTGTCAAAAATAAACTAAACCTATTGCTTTGAGTCAATTCCAACTCATAGCAACCCCCCTGGCCAGAGCAGAATGCTCCAAAGGGCATCTGAGGGTGTAATCATGGAAGCAGACTGCCTCACCTTTCTCCTCAGAAAGGGAGGTGCCTGGTGGGCTCAAACTGCTGACCTTTTTCAAACACCATGAGGGCTCCTTGAACGAAATCCCAATAGGCTTATTAAAATAATCAAAAAAGAGAAAATGTTGTTCGGTTCCATTGAGTTGGCTTCAGATCAAGCCATCCTATGTACAATACAGCCAAACCATGCTTGGTCTTGCACATGCCTCACAATCTCTGCTGTGTTTAAACCCAGTGTTGAGGCCACTGTATTATATTTTAAAACAAAATACACAGTATTATATAAATATAGGGTACCACACTGTCTGTAGGGAGCTCTGGTGGCCTAGTAAGAAACTACACTGTAATCCCAAAGGCACAGGATTCAAATCCAACAGCTGCTCCACAGAAGAAGGATGGGCACTCTCCACCCATGTGATTAACTGCCTCTGAAAATCCACTCCAGGATCAGCTTTGGTTCTGACTTGAAGGTAAACAACAATGTCTGTAGCATAATTGTTTTTCTCTGGTGAGTTCTTTGAGGGATGTCTGTTTCATCCACCTTTGTTGCACATTGGACCCTCAATAAATCTTGTGTAAATATTAGTCTGTAATGACATGCACACTTACCACATCCACTAGTTGAGATATTGCAAGGCCAAACTTTATTTTTATTTTGTCATTCAGGTGTTCCACAGGACGAACCCATCTTTCATAGTCTTCAAATAAATCCTTAAATAAATTATCTTCATATTTTGCAATAGAGGATGGTTCTGATAAACCTGTATAACAAAGTTTTTATAGTTAGTACATTAGCTCCTCTCCCATCAAATAATTAATTATACCTTTTAAAAGGGCATTATAAATTAGCCAAACTATACAAAGACTGTGACCAATCCATCCATCTATAGTACAAATGTTTGTTATCAAGTAAGGGACATTCTGATTCATACATATATTAGTTAAGTCAGTTACTCACTAAGGAAATTTGCAGGAGTTTTTTGAAGAACATAATACTCAATAAAGAGTCATTTAAAATCTAAGTAACAATCTCCAGAGCTAAGGTTATAAAATACTGGGCTTAGAAAATAGAAGCAAATATTATTAATCAATTTTACGTATAAAATAAACATACTTTGATTTCCTTAATTTTTTTAAATTTTATTATTTTGCATGCGTGTACCGTCAAATCAGATCTGACTCATACAGGAGGAGATTATCCCTCCTTTTCCAGCAGAGCATCTGGTGGATTTGACTAGGCCACCAGAGCTCCCTCATGATTTCCTTAATTTTAATATGCAAATATATAATATTGAATTAATTATCCAAGTTTGTAATTTCTTTGCTTACTATATATTTATTCTTGTTTTTTAAAAAAATTGTATTTTATACTAGTTTACTTACAAAATTTGTATACATTGTTTTTCTTGCCAGATCTTTCCCATTTCCTTTACCCACCCCTCCCGCCACCCACTGAATTGTGTGTCCTTATGATTAACCCCATACCTGCCCCACCCATCCTCACCCCTCTGCTCCCACTCTCCTTGCCTTGGATCCTCTTACTCATTCTGCAATAATGGTCTTATACAGTATTTGTCCTTATGGGACTGAGTTAGTTCACTTAGCATAATGCGCTCCAGTACCTCCCAAGTTATATAGTAATTTTTTTAAATCACTGCTCCTGCATGCTGCACAGTATTCTATTATGTGAATGTACCACAATTTCTCAACCCATTCTATTATGGTTGGGCATCTGGGCTGTTTCCATGTTCTTGCCATGGTGAATAACGCTGCTATGAACATTAGTGAGCAGTGACGGGGGTCATTAAAGCTCACGAATGGTCAACTAAGATGTAACTATTGCTCTCTCCTTGTCTGGAACAAAGAAGAAAGGGGGCGAGGGGGAAGCAAAGAAGGGAGGAAGCCCCCGCAGCAAAGAGAAAGAAAAAAAAAACCCAGTTTTGCTGAGGTCACATTGGTTAGATTTATAGATCACAATTACATTCATACTTCTGATGAGTTTTTGGTGTCGTCTAGGCCAGAATCGCTGTTAAGAAAATGTGAAATGTGCAAAACTCAAATATGACATTTACTTAACACTCTATAAGTTTTATGACAAAAAAAAATATTTACTTGAAACAAAAAATGTCACTGGCTTATTTATCAGAAAGCACATGGAAATGACAGCTGCTCTGGATGGTCCTTCTCTAACCTAAAGGAAGTGATCTGACAGGGGTCGGGGAAAGTCTCTCTCACAAAATCTTACATTTTCATTACAGTAGACGATGTTTTCTTTTTAAAAAAAGTAAAAGAAATTAACAATATTTTCTGTGTGGAGCCATTACAGAGGGCCTGGTTACTCTCAGAGGAGAAAACCCACACCTGCTTCTTACATCACTAACCAAACAGCAGCAGTTTTAGATACTTGACTTCATTTAGAAATAATTCACAATTTATGTCCTGTTTCCCTTTAACAGTGTCATAAAAGATAGCACAAAGCAACATATGTAGATCATAGCCCCAGAAAGCTGTTACTTTTTAAAACAGAGAAACTTATTATAATTAAGAAGAATTCAGAAAATCTAAGAATTCATATGGACATAATCTTTATTAAGAAGAGCTTTAATTAAATAATTACCTCAAATATTCATTTTTGTGAACAATAATGGAAAATAAGATCTAATGTGCAATGTCATTGCATTTATCTTGTCTTTCTTTTTAACATGTTACACATTTCCCAATAGTTGTCTATTTTTAAACAGTTTTAATGCATAGACTATAACATTAGATTACTAAAAATGTCAAATATTCACTTTAAAATGTCAACAGCAAATACAAATTGTAAAATGTTTCTAAGAGTAAAGGCGTTTTCTCCTCAAAAGCAATCTTTGAACCTACTAGTGAATCTTGTTAATAAAGTGTGGAAATATCATTCATATCAGACGCAAGCAAAATCCTGAAGATTATCCAGAAACGAATGGAACAGTACATTGACAGAGAACTACCAGTAATACAAGCTGGGCTGTAAAAAGGTCATGGCACTAAGAGACATTATTGCCACTGTCAAATGGATCTTGGCAGAAAGCAAAGAATACCAGAGGGATATCTACCTGTGTTCCACAGACTATGCAAAGGCATTTGACTGTGTGGATCAGAACAAACGGTAGTTTGCCTTGAGGATAATAGGAATCCCAGAAAACTTGATTGTGCTTATGTGAAAACTATACTTGGACCAGGATGCAGTCCTAAGAACAGAGAAGTGAAACACTGCATGGTTCAAAATCAGGAAAGGAGTTAATCAGGGATGCATTTCATCCCCATACCTTTTCAATCTATATGTGGAACAGATCATTTGGGAGGTTGGACTTTATGAGAAGGAATGTGGCATCAGGATTGGAGGAAGACTCACCAACAACCCACATTATGCAGATGACAGAACCTTGCTTGATGAAACTGAAGAATACATGAAGCACTTGCTGCAGAAGGTCAAGGACTGTAGTCTTCTTCAATATGGATTTAAGCTCAACATCAAGAAGGCAAAGATTCCCACCACTGGGCCAACTGGCCACACCATGATGGAGGAAGAAGAGATTGAGTTTGTTAACAGTTACCGTTTGCTCAGCTCCACAATCAACATTCTTGGCACCAGCAGTCAGGTAATCAAAAGATTAATTGCATTAGGTGAATCTGCTGTCAGGGACCTCTCCAGAGTACTGACAAGCAACTATGTCAGTCTAGAGACTAATGTGTTCCTGATCCAGGCCATGGTCTTTGCAATTACTTGTTATGCACCAGACAGCTAGACAATGACTGAGGATGACAGAAGAAGAATCGATGTCTTTGAGTTGTGGTGCTGGAGAAGACTGCCAAGAAAACAAATAGGTCTGTCTTAGGGTGAAACCAAGTTTCTCCTTGGAGGCTAGGATTTTGAAACTTTGTCTCACATACTTCGGGCAGTCCTTGGAGAAGGACATCATGGTCAGAAGGACTGAGGGACAGTGCAGGAGAGGAAGACCTCTAATGCAATGGGGGTAGATTGTCGGTCAGGGAGACTGGCTCGGAATAGGGCAGGGTTCAGAGCCACTGTACAAAGGGTCGCAGTGGGTTGCAGGCAACTCGATGGCACATAACAACAAAATAATGCCAACGGCCCATAACAACAAATCATAATAAAAATTAAAAACCTTTCTAATGGATAGAAAAGCTGTGGTATATCCACACAATGGAATACTATGCTGTATTGAAAAACAAGGAACGCATGCAATATTATTCAAAATGGGTGAGCCTGGAGGACATTATGCTGAGTGAAATATCTCAGTCACAAAGGGACAAATACTGAACGGTGCCACTGCTGTAGAATGGGTCTGACATCAGGGTTGGGGTATGACAGAAAAAACTGGATAAATTATGTATATTGTATTGAAACAGATAAGGGAAAGAACAGATTAGAGGTGATATATGAGTATTATGGTTAGCACAGGAATCCAGAATTAAGGTTGCGTAGAGAACTGTACTCGGGGTGGGGGGTGGGGGGAAAGAGATGGGGGAATTGTATACTAATGAAGGAATTTTTTTTTTCTTTTCGGAGAGGGGAATGAACTGGTGGGGAGGGGTGGGCAGGGAGAAAAGTGAGGCAATGAATGAATGGAATTCCAAAACCTCTGTAAATGCCTATTAAAATTAATAAAAAAAGAAAAAACCTTTAACAACTGACTAAATCAATTGTAAATTAATAAAGAGAAAAATACATATTCTTTGAGATTTGAAAATTCACCAAAGTCTCGATTTATAGTGTTGCTATTGTTAGGTGCTGTTGAGTGTGACTCATACTGACCTATGATCAACAGATCCTGAACTCTGTCCCACTCTGTACCATCCTCATCATCTCTGACACACTTGAGTATATTGCTTTAGTCACTGTGACTATCCATCTCGTGAGGGTCTTCCTCTCCTTTGCTGACCTGCCCTCCATCTTTCCAAGCATGATATCCCTGTAGAGGATTAGCCTCTCCTAGCATCAGGCCCAAAATATTTGAGGTGAAGTTTCACCATCTTTGCCTCGATGAAGCACTCTGGCTGCACCTTATTCCAAAACGTATGTTTGGTTTTTTGGTCAGTCCATGGGAAATTCAGTGTTCTTCTCCAACACCATAACTCAAAAGCATTTACTCTTATTCTGTCATCCTTATTTACTGTCCAGCTCCCAGATGTATAGCAAGTGATTGAAAAGGCTATGGTCTCAATCAGGTACATCTTGGTCTTCAAACTGATATTATTGTTCCTCAGTAATTTGGAGAGTTATCTGACAGTGGACTTGTTCAATGCAATATGCCTCTTGATCTCCTGAGTGCTGGAACCAAGGGCATTGATCATGGATCCATATAAGATAATATCATTGACAATTTCAATCTTTCCATCTATCATGATGTTGTCTACTGGTCCAGTGATGAGAATTTTCGTTTTCTTGATATTGAAATATAGTCTATATTCTACAGTAAATCCTCCTCATTTTCCACAAGCAAGGTTGTGTCATGTGCTGAGATTATTGATGAGTTTTCCACCAATCCTGATACCACACCCTACTTCATAGAGTTCAACTTTCTTGAATGGTTTGTTCAGCATATACACCGAACAGTTATAGAGAGAAGCTACAACCTGATGCACACTTTTCTTAATTTTAAATCATGTAGTGTTTCCTTGCTCTGTTGCCACAACAGCCTCCAAGAGGTCTAGGTATGGATTTTGCATGAGAGCAATTATGTGTTCTGGGATTCCCAT